GTTTTTAGGTGTTTGCAAAATCAACGTTTGCTTTTGCTTCTCTTAAAATAATCTGCTTTAAGCTATTTTTTTAAAAGCACCCATAACCCTGCTTTTTCAATTTTAGTTCATTTTCCAAAAATTTTGCAAACACCCCAAACTTTTAGAAATAAGCACTTAAAACTAAATTAAATCACAATCACTAACTTCTGCTTTTAAATAATCATTTGCAAACACCACTTTAATATTTGTGCTAATTATTTACAATATTATGTAGTATGTGAAATGAAATAATCGATACGAAACTACATATGGTGCGAGTAAGGGTGTAAATCGGACGAATCGGATCGAAGTAAGCCCTTTTCGGAAAAAAACATTGTTTTTTTATGAAGTGAAAAACTGGTTCCAATTCTGTTGCCCAAAAAATCGAAATCAAAATTTCGGAAATTGGAATGAGAAAAACTTGTTTCAAAATCGAAATTTTGGGATCCAGATCGGCGAAGTTCGAAAATTTCTACTTTTAGGTCACCTAAAATATAAAATACACAATATTATTGGTATTTTAAGTGTAATATTCGGAAATAAAATTGGAATTGTCGGAACTTAAAATCGATCGGAAATCGGATTGAAAAATATTATTCCAAAATCAGAAAATTTCGGAACAAAATTGATGAAAATTGAAATTTCGTTTCAATTTCCACCCTTGGTTCGAGACAACAAATTATTCGAGGAAGAAGCCAAGAAGGTGCATGGAAAAATGGAAATTATTTTAATTGGAAAACGGAAAATCCAATTCCCCGTACGCAATGTTTTTCACCTTGCCAAATTCCAATCTCCTACGTAAGCTTTACCGTTTGGCTAAGTATGATTAATTAAAGATAGTGCAATTAATTAATTAAATGTGCAATCAAACCAAACTAATTAAACAAGAAAATTTAAAAGAGTAAAAAAACAGAAAAAATCCAAAATAAAAAAATAAGACTAGAAGCAAACAAACGGCATCACTTCTGGGCCACAAAATTAAAATTTTGTTATTTTTTAATTAATGATGTTTTGTCTTTTCGTTTGTTTTCCACCTCAAGAACAATTTAAAAAAGGAATTAAAAAAGAAAAAGAAAAAAGAATGTTATCTAATATATGGCCTTGAATGGTCTGTATATATTTGGTGCGTAATTATATAGTGAACACATTTGTAGATCTGTCTATATATATTTATTGATGTCACATCTTAATTATAAGGAATAATATTTAATAATTTCAAAAAAGATGAGGATGAGAATATAGCTGAATATGGAGTGGCCGGGGGATGGGGTATTAGATTTTTTGTCTCCCTTAATTTTTTTATAAAACATGTTCATCCCCGTTTTTATTTTACGGTACGAAACCCGCCCCGTTTAAAACCCGCCCGAACATGGCCCGCGAAGAATCCGTGAATATATTTCAGGAAATTATTGCTTGTTGGTACGTATGCTTCTTTCAGTAATGAATTTAGTGCACTTGAAAACAAGTTTACTTTTTATTTTCGTAGTGTTGGTTGGTTGGCAAACATACCTCATTAAAATTGCTACATGTGATGTGATTCACTATACTTTATGATCATAATAAATTTTAGGTTTTGTTTTGATAAGATCAGTGAAGATAAGATATTAAATAATTTTATGAAAAATCCAATATATAATTAAGATGGTGTTGGTTAAGTTTAAAAGATGTTAAAAATAACTTATAAGATATTTTAAGAGCTTATAAGCTCTTTCGAAGTATTTGGTAATACTTTTCTAAAATATCTTAATTTTTTTCAAAATAAGCTGTTGGAGAGTAAATATTTTTTTTAATACATATCTCTACCCCACATTTTTTTTAAGATCTTATAATAAGTAAAAATAGCAAATAAGCTCATTATCCAAATACTTTATAATTTAATTCTAAAAATAAGATGTAATAGTTTATCGACTCTTAAAACATCTTATCAAACGTAAGAGCTTATCAACTATTTAAAATAAAATTAGCCAAACGAACCCTTACTGATTAGTTAAGATTAGAGTTATTTTTTCGCAAAGAAATATGCGACAAAATCCAATTATTAAACTAATCATGATTGACCATATCAAGCAAAATAAGGCCTTCATATAATTAATATCTCTCTTTATCTAAAACTAAATAAATTAATAACTCTCATATAATAAGATAATCATGACATTATACTGAATAAAATTGTATGAATTAAAAAATAAAATAAATAAAAAATGAAAGTATATTCTAAAACAGAATTGATGAGGCAATAGTAAATAGGTATGAATATAGTGAGGTGTACTAGTTGTAGATTGGGCCCAATAATTTATTTATTGACGGGAGTGGTTAACATCCGTCAGATTTGTAGACTGGGCGGTTAACGTTGTCATCCGTTGATTAAATATCACTATTTGACAGTGACGTGGCATCGATCTTTATTTTCTGATCAAAAGAGTTTCCATATTTTGATTGATGAGAAATATGCTCCCTTCGCCTTTCACATGTTTGATGACGTGTCTTCTTCCATTTTTATGATAGAAGAAGATGTCTGACAGACGGTCTGCGTTAGTAAAACAGCCACATATTAGGAAATTTTTGTGTGCAATTACCATCAAGCCCTCAACCTTGGTCAAAGTTACGATAAGACCTATGTTGGAATAATGCATAGGGATGCTCATTGGGATTGGAGTAATAATTTCCGTTCGGTACGGGCTTTTCTGTTTTGGGAACTTAATTCGGTTTTTTCAGTACCGCAAAAATTGAAAATATATTTTAATATTATCAGCCTAAAACCGACTCATTCGTCAAACTATTTTTGCTCAAATTTGAAAATCGTTGCCGACCCAACCTTTGTGGATCGGTTGATGGTTGGTAACCGAATATTTGGTTCCGGAATGGGTCGGTTGGTGGTTTATACCTGCAACCTAGTTCACTTAAAAAAAACAAATTTTGTGCGATCATCATTTATCAGTTCAAAATAATTAAATAACAATTTAACGAAAAAATATAATTAGAATATTCAAAGTAATTTCAAACATGCACAAGAGATTTAGTAGAGTTTTGTGAGCTTTTTGTTTAAGCTTGGGCATAGAGAAACTGGTGGAAGATTTAGCTCAAATTTTTTTCCTTTGTTGATTGTTTTTAAAATTTAAAATACTAATTATTTTGATAATTTCAATAACCACTTAAGAAAACACGGCCTTTATTTTATATTTTTAATAAAATTTTAATAATATAGTTGGATGACCGATAATTATCGGTCAACCAACTTCTGATAATATTAGAAACCACCAACCGACCCATTATAGATGGTTTGGGTGAAATTTTCGGCCGGATCCAATGGGTCGGTTAAAAATTGATTATCCGCTTAAAAATATGGTCGGTAGGATCGGTTGGTGAATAAAAACCAACCCAATCCCAACCCTAATCTAAACTAATTAATCTTGAATTTGACATTTAAATTTAAATAATGGGTCTTAAAAAAAATGACCATCATTGTAGGAAATAGAAAAAATTATCAATCTAAAAGTATTTTATAATTTATAATAACCTTAAATAAATTAAAAAAAAAGAAATATTTATTAAATATATTGGTATTCATTTTGTACAGTATACCGGATATCAATACCATATAGTCATATACAGTATACCGAAGAGCGTAATTTCAAAAAATTGAACAAGTGCCGATTCAAATTTCCAGTACGGTACTTGGCACATGCCAAAATTTTCAATGAGTTGGATGATTTGGTCGGTGAACACCCATAATTAATAATGCCAGTACTCTTTCCCTTCTAAGAAAAAATTCGTGGCCTTCTATCTTTTTCTTTGATATTTGTTGGAATAATTTTGAGTATGCGTCGGTGGTCGTCGTCGTCAAGTCTCTACCATGAAAGCTATGTTTAATGATAATTAATGTTTTTTTAAATTGATTTAATTATTCCATATCAATTCAATGCTCACATTTATAATATTTCCACACGTATACGGGTGAACCAATTTTTTTTTTTTTTTTTTACATAAATAATTTTTTTTGAAACATTTATAAAAAAAAAATATTATGAAATTATATATTTCGAGGGGTTGTACAAAAAAAAAATGATGAATGCTGAGATAAAAAGATATGTATGATTTATGAAGATATTTAAGTAATTATTGATGATTTTTCAATTTTAAATAAAGCTATTAGATGGGCCGAGTGGACGGACCCATCATGCCTAATGGCCAGTGTTACTACCCAAATTAGTCCGACCTATGTACATTTTTGTAGCTATACCAATGGCCCAATATGCATTCTATTTGCAATATTTCATTTTATTACTATTTAATGTCAATATATAGTTATTTTCAATTACAATTTACATGTGCATTACTTCATTTGTTTGTCCTGCACGCTTATGCTGGCATGAATTGTGGATTCCACAACGGCACATTATATATATTTATTTTGACTTTTTTCTTTTAAAAAATACTAATGTTTAAGAAAACTTTGAATTTACGGAATCTTAAATATGACAATAGAATCTCTTGGCTCAAAGCATCCCAAGAAAACATTTGCAAGGTCAAAAATTAAAATTATAAAATAAAATGGCATTACTTGATATGTAATATTAGCAAAAAAAGAATGGCCACACCAAACAAAACCTATAATAGCTGTCTAATATAATGTGTTTGTGGCTGTAATAGATACCCATTATTATGGGACATAGTTTTTGTCTTGGGACATAGTTTTTGTCTTGTCTAATATTTCTGCTGATTAAAGTTTTTTTTTGGTAATGAAAGAATTTGAAACCAATTATATAATTTCGCATAATAACTTGTAAATTATACAAGAGACGTAAATCTATTAATACGAACTTACTTGCTCCAATCGCTAGACCATTTCTTAAGTAACAACTAAAGAATCTTTAATTATATCGATGTTTGCTTTATTAAGAAGGGATAAATAACAATATATAATGGAATCCAAGTATGAGCAGATATTACGTAACACAAGTCATATCCTATAAAATTATGAGGGTAGGTTTGGGGCTCAATAAATCAAATAATTAAAACCACAACTAATTAAAATACTCCGCAATTTAATTAAAATTAAGACATGACCAAATAACAATTAATTAATTAATTAATTTACATGCCTAAACAACTTTACCAGTTTTTCTGGTTGTTATAATAATTAATTAATGTCTGCCTCATGATTATTTGGTTCTAGCTAGTTCGGCACTAGCTAACTTAGTACATGACTTTCAGTAAAGGGCAACTATTTTGTGTGTGTGTGTGTGTGTGTATTACGTACAAAATGGAAATTTAAGTGTACGTACGGTATGTGTTACAATCAGTTACAAGTGGAGGTGTTTAATTAAAAGCGTGGTGAGCTGGCCACGACTTCATTTAGTAGATTGTGGCTTAAGTACGTTCTCGTATTGCTCGATCAAATATTACTACATGAATATTTAAGATAATATATTAATTATTAATTTAATATAATAACTAGAAAATTAATTATTACTAGTCAAAATGGCGAAGTATCTCCAGTCATGCAGATTTACGCCTATTACTTACGTCTTGCTAAAGAAACGATTTTCTTAATCTTGTTTATTTTATTTTCAAACTCCACCCCCCCCCCCTCTCTCACTCAGTATTCGCTATATTTCACTTGTAATATATAAATTATCGATTTTGTAGATGCGCTAACATTAGGGAATTTTGCACCATTAATCTACCCAGAAAACACACATATACGTGTATGTATGCTTAGTAGATGATTATTTTTCAGGTCAATGATACAAAACCATCGATATATTTCGCAATGTGTAACATCTAATAGACCTAATTAAGGTACATTGGTTAATTAGAAGGGAAAAATGCAAAGCCAAAAAGTATAGTACCAATCTAGTAAAAACCCTAGATGTATGTATATGTATGTATGAATAGAAAAACCCTAATCGATCGTAAATTGTGCCCTAATATATTCCAAAAACTGCCTCTTCTACAATTTACCAGTCATGTGAATTTTACTCAGCCCTACTCCCAAAACACACCCACAAGTCTTTCCTCGGTAACCAAATCACCTCTCTATTTTACTTCCATTTTTCTCACCTACATGGTAAATTATTTTTATATGCACAGTGAAAAAGTATTCATATATCTAATCCTAAATAAAATAAAATAAAATAATACTGTAGGGGTTCTCCTTGTCGGTACGGTCATATAAAAATTCATACATGTTAGAATTATTTTTAACTTTTTTCACAATTATTATAATTATTTTTATTATGTTCAAGGCAGTACAATAAAAATAAATTCTAATTAAAAAAGTTAAAATAAATGTTTTAAATCATTTTCATGAATATTATTTGGGAAAATTGTCCTTTAGGCTATAACTATTGCACAACAAACAAGAATAAATATAAATATATATATATTTAAAAAACAAATAAAGGAACAGTCATGTAGTAATTGGTAGCTTAATCCAACCCTCTTTTGCCTTTCACAATCTCCTAAGCTACCTCACTCCTAATATCATCAAAATCTCCATTTCCCAATGCATCAATTCACAATGTAAATTTTTTATTTTTGTTTTAATTATTAAAATGAAATTAAAGTAACGAGGAGAATATTTTATTTGTTAGTAGTATCACACAGGGGCAGTTTGGGACATTCACCAACAGTTCATAGGAAGATGGGACAATTAATCAGTGGCGCCCTAATCCGAGTAATTAAACAAACCAAAACCCATTATTACTGTATTTAAAGTGAAGCTTTTTTGCTCTTTGAGACTTCGAAAAACTCAAGAAAATTGTTGCCCAAAGACACCAACTTTTTAGAGCCTGAAATCCCTCCAAACAAAAAACAGAAGTGATGAAAACATACCAGACATAAGAAATGGCCACCATTAATGGAGTTTAAATGAACTCCACTTGAGTTTCACCACCACCACCACCACCAGCGCCACCACCTGCACCCCGCTCACGGCGGAGCTGAGACTCCGGTAAGAAGCAAAAAACCACCCTGCTTTTCTTATGCATTTGCATTCATTCACCAACATGGGCTGATTGACGGTGTTTCTTCACATGCATGGATTGATTTTCAATACCACCACATTATGTGCATTTGAAGCATACCCCACCACCACCCTCCGACGCCACCGCCGCCGTACTTTTTTCGCCCCGTTTCTTGATTTTCTGACGGTTCAAAATGGATACAATAAAAACATGTTCTTTTCCCACCTACAAAACCACATTTCTCTTCATCTTTGCCCTCTGTCTTGCCTTAAGTTTCACTGCATTTCAAGAAGTGCATTGTCTCTCTTCCGACGGAGAAGCCCTTTTGTCCCTCCTCTCATCAGCCGACCCTTATTACAAGAACTCATCGGCCGTTCTCTCTTCGTGGGACCCGTCGAACGAAACCCCATGTTCATGGCAGGGCATCACTTGTTCTCCACAAGAAAGGGTTATTTCACTCTCAATACCAAACACATTTCTCAACCTTTCCTCACTCCCATCACAGCTCTCTTCACTTACCTCTCTCCAGCTTCTCAACCTTTCCTCCACCAATATCTCCGGTCCGATTTCCCCTTCCTTCGGCTCGCTGACTCAGCTTCGCCTTTTGGACTTGTCTTCGAACTCTCTTTCGGGGCCTATTCCACTTGAACTAGGCAAACTCACTCTGCTCCAGTTCCTTTTCTTGAACTCAAACAGATTGAGTGGTTCAATCCCACAGCAGCTAGCCAATCTTGATTCAATCCAAGTCCTCTGCCTCCAAGACAATCTCCTTAACGGGTCGATTCCATTGCAAATAGGCTCGTTAATTTCGCTGCAGCAGTTAAGAATCGGTGGGAATCCATATCTAACCGGTGAAATCCCACCTCAGTTGGGACAATTAACGAATCTAACAACATTTGGTGCTGCGGCCACTGGTTTATCCGGTGCTATCCCTCCCACATTCGGAAATTTGATCAATCTCCAAACGTTGGCTCTTTACGACACCGAGTTATCCGGTTCGATTCCACACGAATTAGGGTTTTGTTCGGAGTTGAGGAACCTGTATCTGCACATGAACAAGCTCACTGGTGCAATCCCTTCCGATTTAGGGAAGCTGCAGAAGCTAACTAGCATGCTTCTGTGGGGGAATTCTCTCTCCGGCGAAATTCCAGCTGAGCTTTCCAACTGCTCTTCCCTAGTTGTGCTCGATGTGTCGGCCAATGATTTGTCTGGCGAAATCCCAGGTGATTTAGGGAAGCTAGAGGTTCTCGAGCAGCTTCATTTGTCCGACAATGCACTCACTGGTTCAATCCCATGGCTTCTGAGCAACTGCACGAGTTTGATTGCTCTTCAGCTTGATAAGAACCAGTTATCTGGTCCAATCCCAGGGCAAATTGGTCAATTGAAGTACTTGCAGAGTTTTCTCCTGTGGGGAAATTCTGTCTCAGGGACCATTCCATCTACATTTGGGAACTGTACAGAACTGTATGCGCTTGATCTCTCGCGGAACAAGCTCACTGGATCAATTCCCGAAGAAGTATTTAGTTTAAAGAAGCTGAGCAAGCTGTTGCTAATGGGTAATTCATTAACCGGTGGACTATCACGAAATGTAGCCAAATGCCAATCTCTCGTGAGGCTAAGGCTCGGTGAGAATCAACTCTCTGGCCAAATTCCTAAAGAAATCGGACACCTCCAGAATCTCGTGTTTCTTGATTTGTACATGAATCATTTCTCTGGAGGCTTGCCAGGTGAAATTAGTAATATCTCGGTTCTTGAATTTTTGGACGTGCATAATAATTACATCACCGGAGATATACCATTTGAATTGGGAGCGCTAGTTAATTTGGAGCAGCTCGACCTTAGTCAAAATAGCTTCGCCGGTGAAATTCCATGGAGTTTCGGTAATTTTACTTACCTGAATAAGCTAATCTTGAATAATAACCTTCTCAGCGGCGAAATCCCAAAGTCGATTAGGTACTTACAGAAAATAACTCTCCTTGATTTGAGCTTCAATGGTCTTTCCGGTTTTATTCCACCTGAAATCGGTTACTTGACGAGCTTGACAATTAGTTTGGATTTGAAATCGAACAATTTCAGCGGCGAAATCCCAGAGAAAATATCCGGTTTGACGCAGCTGCAGTCGTTGGATCTCTCGTTAAATATGCTTTACGGGAGGATCTCTGTTTTAAGTGTTCTCACAAGTCTCACTTACCTCAATGTTTCTTGTAATAACTTCTCCGGTCCAATACCTGTAACACCATTTTTCAGAACTCTAACACCAAATTCTTTCATCAACAATCCTCACCTTTGTGAATCTCTCGATGGCTCCACTTGTTCTTCTCGGTTATTGGGAAAAAACGGGTTGAAATCTGCCAAAACCATAGCATTAGTCACTCTAATTCTGGTTTCTGTAATAATGGCGGTAGTTGCCACCTGGATTCTTGTGGCAAGAAATCCCAACTACACGATCAAGAAATCGGGATTTCCGAGCTCGTCCACAGAAGAGGATTTCTCCTATCCATGGACTTTCATTCCATTTCAGAAACTCGGCTTCACAGTAGACAACATCTTGAACTGCTTGAGAGATGAAAATATAATCGGAAAGGGATTTTCGGGGGTGGTTTATAAAGCGGAGATGCCAAACGGAGAAACAATTGCGGTTAAAAAGCTATGGAAAACGAAGAAAGACGAAGAAGAACCAATCGATTCCTTCGCCGCCGAAATTCAAATTCTCGGGCATATCAGGCACAGGAATATAGTGAAACTACTCGGGTATTGTTCGAACAAGACAGTGAAGCTTCTTCTATACAACTACATTCCGAATGGAAATCTCCAGCAGCTCCTGCAGAACAGCAGAAGCTTGGATTGGGAAACGAGGTATAAAATAGCCGTTGGATCGGCTCAAGGCCTAGCTTATCTCCACCACGATTGCTTGCCCACAATTCTCCACAGAGATGTCAAGTGCAATAATATTCTATTGGATTCGAAATACGAGGCTTACCTAGCAGATTTTGGACTGGCGAAGCTGATGAATTCTCCGGTGAATTATCAACAAGCAATGTCGAGAGTGGCGGGGTCGTACGGATACATTGCACCAGGTGACCTAATTTTACAATTTCTCCTGAAAATTTGTATTGATGATAAATGTTGGTATTGAAAGTGTTTAATTGTGATTTGCAGAGTATGGGTACACAGCGAATATAACGGAGAAGAGCGATGTGTACAGCTACGGCGTCGTATTGTTAGAGATACTGAGCGGGCGGAGTGCGGTGGAGCCGCAGATAGGGGAAGGGATGCATATCGTGGAGTGGGTGAAGAAGAAAATGGGGAGCTTTGAGCCGGCGGTGACGGTGCTCGATACGAAGCTTAGGGGTTTGCCGGATCAATTGGTGCAGGAGATGCTGCAGACGCTAGGGATTGCGATGTTCTGCGTGAATAATTCGCCGTCGGAACGGCCGACGATGAAGGAGGTGGTGGCGCTTTTGATGGAGGTGAAGAGTCCGTCGCCGGAGGAATCGGGGAAAACTTGTCAGCCTCTTATGAAATAAGCCCCCGGGGTATCAGAGATTATTATTTTTTTTTTCCTTTTCTTTTTTTAGTGTTGAGGGAATTTAGTAGTTTTTTTTTTTATTAAACTCTTTTTTTATCTTTGGGAATTTCTTTGTACAGCTTTAGCTACATTTTTCTGCCTTATTAGTGTCAGTTCATTTAGCAATTAGAAGTTAAATTCGTTGGTCTTAAACTCTTTGCAAGACATGTTTTTTTTACAATCACCCCCTGAGGTAAGGTCTATTAACGAAAAAACCCCTTCATTTTTCAATAATTACATCCACCCCTTGCAATTTGTAGATTTCTTGCATTAACACCCTTTTGTAGGGGTAGACGTAAGAAATTTTCAAATTGTAGGGGGCTGAAAGTAATTTATCAAAAATAAGGAGTTTTTTTCATAATTACACATTACCTCAGGGAGGTGGTTGTAATTAGGGTAGCATAAATAATATTTCACCCAAGTCTCAGTTGAGTTTCGTGAGCAACTCCACCAGACCATAACAGGTGAAAGACCAAAGTCAAAACCTAAATACTTAACCACCCAACAAATCCTCCAACTTTTTTTTTTTTTTTTGATAATTAAAAACAAATCCTCCAACTCAATACCTATAAATCACACACACACACACACACACACACACACACACACACACACACACACACACACACACACACACACATTCTGAATTTAATTCAATACCTGAATAATTAATACACACTCTCATGGCTAGGCATAATCTCCTCTTCTTGAAGCACCACCAGCTCAGCATCTCCCACATCAGCTTCGGCATCGGAACCCTCCTACTGTGCGCATTCACACTTTTCATGTGTGTAAATCACTCACGAAGGTGGCGTAAATGGAAATCATGCTACGGTTATCGAAACCAGCAAAATCCAGTCATACAACACAACCCTGAAGATATTATCGGCTACAACTATGGAGAAGACATCGAACCTAGTACTTACAGCGGTGATGTCAGCTCTGTCTGGAAGAAGAATATTCTCATGGGAGGAAAATGCCAGCTTCCGGACTTTTCCGGAGTAATCATCTATGACTCCACTGGAAACCGAGTCCCCCCTGCCAAAACCCTTCCAGCACTTACATGGAAATGATTCAGATTCCACTACCACCTTTTGTATCTGTTTTTATTCTTTTTTCGCAGTGTAATTATTTGAACAAAGAAAGATGATCAATGATATAATACTGTTTCAGCAAGAAATATGCCTAATATCAATGTTTTTACAGGGTTAAAAACGGAAAGAAAGCGAAAAAAATAATAATATAGGTTGAAAAACTAATAAAAAGCTTTCATAAAACAAGTATTAGTTGTTTGTTGTTAACCAGTCTTCACTGCACTACGGCCCCTAAATCCAACAACACTTAGCTTCGATGTGGATTTAACAGCCTCGGATTTTCGGGCGGGTCCCGATTTACTCTTGGTGCTAGTGCCATAAGGCTTGGATGGTTTGAAATCTTTAACAACCTTCTTCTTAGACTTGAGAACGAAAGGGGCAGATTTGTCAGATTTGGCTACTGAGGTTCTTTTCTTGGAGACTGTTGATTTGCCTCGGGGTTCGTATGATGATTTGCCACGGGGTTCGTATGATGATTTGCCACGGGGTTCGTATGATGATTTGCCACGGGGTTCATATGATGATTTTGTTGGTGCAGCAGAATTAGTAGCAGGCTTGTTTCTTGAATTGGAACCTTTAACCATCCTCTCGTTTTTGTCCTTTTGCTCGCTTATGTGGGACCTAGCAAGATCCCTTTTGATACTATCTACGGAGATTGATTCCAAGCTCTCGTTCTTCATAAGAGCCTCTTCGATGAGAGCGGCCAAGTTCGTGTTCTTTCTAGCAACCAAACTTGTCACCTTCCCTGCAATCGTGAAAGACAGTATTCTTAACGTAGTAATTATATTAAAAGGAAATTACAGTTGTTTACAATTTTGGTTACTGTAAAAAGTTGCATAAATTACCTTTTGCACCCATACGAGCGGTTCTTCCAGTGCGATGAAGGTAATCAATCTGAAAGTCAAAAACAAAAAGAATCACATTTCCGGCGTGTGGAGTGTGCGTTGAGTGTGTGAGAGAGAGATATAGAGTATGCTTACAGAGTTTGAAGGAAAGTCAAACATGATAACATGGTCAACATCTAAGTCCAAACCCCTTGCAGCCAAGTCCGTACAGACTAAAGTGGGGCAGTCTCCTTCATTACTCTTAAATTTTTCCAGGTTCTCAACCCTATATTAGAAAAATATGACACCATTTTAGATAGGTGATTAATAGAAACAAAAGAAAATAAAGCAAATGGGCAATATAAGTGAATTTAGCAGCTACACCACATATTTTCTACTAACTTGAGAAACTCAATATTAACTGTAGAAGCACTCATACAGAAGAAGACTCAAGAATTAAACCTTTCCAATAGAATCATATATATTAATTATTATCTCACCTTTGTTCAGCTGGCACCTCTCCATGATAATTGACAGTAAGGATTTGGTTTTCACTTAAAAAGTGATCCACAGCTCGACTAGAATTTAACGTGTTACAGAAAACCATCACTCTGTTTCCTTTTGCTAAACTTGGCTCAAGAACCTACGATCACATTATCATATCAAATTATCAATTATCGAATCAAAGTTTACGAAACAAAGAATAAATTCAAAGGAAAGTAATCAAACTTTAAAGAAGGTAATAAACCTGCAACAAGGCTTCCAGCTTATTTTCTGAACCTGAAAGTTTGATAAAATCATGGCGAGCGTTCGCAATTTTCTTATGGAGTGAAGAAGTGCGCAAATGAATAATTCCTTGAAATTCATCATCAACCAGCTTCTGCACAGGCTACAGAAGAGAAAAAAAGAAAAAGAAAAAAAAGAAGCATTAGGCCAAGCACAAGAAACATCTCGTAGGGGACTCAAAAAGGGAAAAAGACTATATAACTTGGTCTAATTATATTTATTCCCTCAAAAAGAACAGCAGAAGCCCTACCAGTTTTATTGCATTTAACTTTTACTTAGATTTTAGCTTAACTAATCATACCTTTGTCATTGTTGCAGTGACCAATACAGTTTGAAATTCTAGACCATCAGGTTTAGATGCACGGTTTTTCAACGGTGCAAGAAATTTATGTATGTCTGGGCCAAAGCCGCGGTCAAACATGGTGTCTGCCTCATCCAATACCTGTCAATAGATTCCCATCATTATTTTAAAGAGACGTAAATACGACATATATTTCCAAAAATGGAATAGAAATTGAGATAATCGATGGAAGGGGGGCTGATTACCAAGTATCTGATGTCACCGTAAACCATATTCCCCTCTTCAATATGTTGTAGGACCCGCCCAGGAGTTCCTACAACCATGTCAATTGGGCTGTTCAAGGAATCTTCCTGGGGTCTTATACGCCCACCACCACTTACCATGGTTGATCTGAATCGTGCATGGTGACTGATGGATTTGGCAACATGGAACACCTGGACACAAAACCTCGAGTTTTAATGATTGAAAGATGTCGTCATAACTCTTATTTCACTAAAGTGATGCACAGAAAAATTAACCTGCTCACACAGCTCCCTTGTCGGACATAATACAACAGCACGAGGGCGTCTAGGCTTCATAAGCATACCATGTAACTCTTCATCCCTTCTCAGCAACTAAAAGAACATGAAAACATGTTGTTTAATGACAAATTTTACTCTGGATTTTTACCTCAGGAAATCAGTAATTCAGTAACAGGTAGTACCTTAAGAAATATTGAAGGACATATTAAGAAATCATGAAGTGCAACTCAAGAACAAGAAAAATAACACAAATTATAATCTCTATCATGCAACATAAGAAAAAGAAAAATAACACAAATTATGTTCTCTATCATGCAACATGAAAGAAGTTTCAATGAGCCTCATTTCCGAACAGCCATTTTTGCCAACCTTTTTTAATAAGGAATCAAGCATCCAGACTATAATGCCTTGTATCAAGAATCAAGTCGAACAATTGATCGACAAAAAACTATAACCAAAACTTTACATCAGACTATTGAGGCAGAAATTGAGAAAGTGATCTCATCAAAGGTACTTCAAAAACTGGATTGAAGGTAACAGAATAATAAAAAAAAAAACTGAAAATTCAGAGAAAAAAAGAGGAGAAGATGAATAAACCTGAACAAGGGGTAAAAGATAAGCAAGAGTCTTGCCGGAACCAGTGTGGGACCCCAACACAACACTCTTCCCGTTAAGCACGGCAGGCATACCGATGCACTGAATCTCAGTTGGGACTGAAATCCCCATTTCCACTAAAGCCCCAATCACCTCCTCACTCAACCCCAATTCCTCAAAACTCGAATCCGCATCAGCCGCGCCGCCCTTGTTCCTTCTAGAACCCTCGATTTCGCCATTTTTACCTTTCTTCGAGCCGCTCAATGATGATGGATTCGCGGCAACCGACTTCGAAAAAGTTTGGGCAGAATCCTTAAGGTGCCTCTGCCTGAGCCTTTCCAATAGAATTGAATGCTTTATCGGCTGCAGTGTTTCGGTTTCATCGATTTCTGGTATTGTGGCGGTGGCGGCGGCGGTGCAGAGTGGCCGGAATCTGTGGAAATCCACCCTATAGGGAGTTGTGTAAACATTTAACGGTATTGAGAGGTAAATAGGTCGGTTGAAGGAGAAGCGTTTGGGCAAAGATAGGAGAGAGAAAGAGAGAACTTTTGCAGTTGTTCCCATTGCATACAAATTTCGAATGTTTTGATCTTTTCTAGTGGCTGAGAGCTTTGCGAGGTTTTGTCTGTGTGCGTTTTTTTTCTTTGAGGTTTTGGGTTTAGAGATGAGGATGATGATGAGCTCCGAGTTTATGATAATTTCAAAATGGTCCTTGGTAAGTATCACACTTTTATTTTGTCCATGTACTTTTAAATATTATGAAATTTAACCCTACTATTTACCTCCGTATTGTAAATTGAGTCCTAAATGTTAATTCACGGAATGGTGAAAAAATCGTTTTAAGGTATACTTTAAACAAAATATACAAATTTACATTACTTTGTTGGAGCATGCTTCGTATGAACATTATATTTCATTTATATTGTGTTATTGCTCAATTTGTATATATATTTGCTTTACTGTAATAAAAGATAATATTAATAATTTATTTACATATAATGTGACTAATAAATTAAACAATTTTGTGCCCCATATATTTAAATTCGTCCCGCAAGGATTGGCCTAGCGATTGGAGCAAATGAACTTGTGTCAATTGATCCAAGTTCGAATCTCCCTGCCAACGGTCGTACCCTTACTGCCTTACAACTTGACCTAATTTTTTTTTTAAAGTAATAAAATTGAAAAACAAGAATTGATATTTATGTTTATTTTACAAACTGAACCTGCTAAGAGATGCATTAATTCCAGGGGATCATGACAAATGATGTGTGTATGTTCGAAAGTTGGAAGGAAACATCACTGGTAAATTTCAGGCTTCAACACTCCGACATACGGCAAATTCCGGTACACTTCATCAAAGTCCAGTCCATAGCCCACCACAAAGTTATCCGGGCACTGCCATTACACGCAACAAAACGTTTTATTCACATTGTACGACGACATATCAATTTCAATACTAATTCAGGCCATTTTTTTTCTTTTCTTTCAAACGATTATAACAAAGTAAATAAAAGCTTTCACTAGTGTGCGCTTTTTGTTAGAACAAATCATCTTCCTCCTCTATATACCATAAACCAAACAAAGGCAACGAGCAGTTGCATAATCCAGAAGATTCGGGAAAGGCAACGAAGCTATCTACGCACATACATATACATAATTGACAGAGAGATAGAGAGAGAAAGATCACCTCAAAGCCAGAATAATACTTTCCTTCACCAACAAGTTCAAAATGAACCTTCCGCCTCGCTGATTTATCAAGAAGAGCGCACACAGATACGGAAGATGCTCCTTTCGTTTTCATGTAATCAATAAGACAGGACAAAGTGCTCCCAGTATCTACAATATCCTCCACCTAACCAATACAAAAAAAAATCGAGAACATTATCCTTCTTCGTTGTTAAGCTGCGCAACTATATACAATAAGGCTCCATTTTTAAAGAGAGCACATTTCATCTCCGATCGGATCTTATTCTACATGCTACATCAGTCACACAGCCACGAATTTCGAAGGTGGGCATAAGCTAAAAACATGTGCTGATAAAAAAACGAACTTTACATAGGAAAAAATTATGTTGCGAGCACACGCAATGACACAATCAATCCCAACACTGGGAATTTACAAATACATAATTTGTTCACATGGCCATGCACAATGTACCAAAGATTAAGAGCTGGATTTTTTTGTTTTCCTTCTCTCAAAATCCGTGCAATAAAATGAAATCAATGTGTCAATTATATACTATGAGGGAAAGAAAACAGTGAAAAAAAAAAAAAAAAAAAAAAAATCAGATGAATGTACCAGAATGACGTGCTTTCCTCGGACGTCGAGTTTCAGGTCGAACGAAATCGTGGGTCGACCATTGGAAACGGTGCCCGACCCATATGATTCGACCCGGATGAAATCCACAGTGATGGGCAGGTGAATCTTCCTGGCGAGGTCGGCCGTGAACAGAAATGCTCCGGTGGCGACACCCACAATCGCCGGAGCAATTGTACCGGATTTGAAGTCTTTGGTTATTTGAGAGCCGAGTTCAGAGACCCGTTCGGAAATTTGTTGTTCGGTCCATAAGATTTTCTCAATGTGATCATTCAAATCCATTGATGGAGGGAGACGAAAGGAGGGTTTTTTTGACGAGCAAGGGTTTTCGGGTAGTTGGGCGTGGGTATTGTAGATACTACAAAAATTACGAAAATCCCCCTGAACTTAGGCTAAATTATGAAAAATGCCCCCGCTTATCTATAATCACCAAAATCCTTCTAAAGTTTGTTTCTGCCTTATACCAACCCCATTACGATATTATTCTTCACGGAATCTTTTGATTTCTAGGGCATATTTTCCAAAAAATACCAATTTTATCCCAACAGACGTGGCATTATTTATGTTGCTTTTGAAAAACAAAATCACCCTCAAAGGAGTAATAGCAATATTAAAAAGTTGTGAATGTGTTATTTAAGAAGAATAAATACTTTGTGTAAAGACTAAAGACCCCTGCAGATAATTTTTGCCTTTTGAAAAGTAGCATAAAAAAATCACATCTATAGAGGTAGAATCGGCATTTTCAGTGAGTAATCCCTCTAATAAAAAATATTCCGTTAAAAAGCACACTTTGGTAATTGCATATAGGTGGGGGCATTTTTCATAATTTAGCCTAAGTTTGGGGGGTTTTTGTAATTTACCCTTTGTAATTTAATGTAGGCCATATTTGTGTTTACGTTTCCTTGGAGGTTGACTTTAGCCCAAGAATATCACTATAAAGTATAAACAGAGGAAAACCAGCTTATGACAAGATAACATTCACCAAGAATCCTAAACTAAAACGAATATGCGCACACATTCTCTTGTAAAAATCGACCAGCATTTATATACACAAAGTTCCTCCATGTTCGATTTTGCTCAAAAAGTCACCGAGTTTGATATTACAGCCAGTTGCAAACTTTACCAAGTAATATAAACAGCAACTCTACATAAAAATGAATTATATGACAGACAAACAAAAGGAAGGCCTGGCGAGTCTCAAGTCAAAAGGTTAGATTGATCCCTAAAAAGGTGGTAAACAACGGATTTCATGTCGTAATAACTAAATATTCATCATGCCATGCTAAGTTACCTTAACTCTCTCTCTCTCTCTCTCTCTCTCTCTCTCTCTCTCTCTCTCTCTCTCTCTCTCTCTCTCTCTCCAGTGGCTGCTTTGGAGTTTGATAGATCAAACTAATATTTCCCCACTATTTTAGAAGCCCTCTTGTGTTCGTGAATACGTCATCATCACTCAAAACGCTGTTACTGTGAAAGCTTTCTCCAAGTCGTTTGTGCCGAACTTGATCTGAGACATAAGAAAAACTGATTATCCAGACTGAATTATTCACAATCGATACTTATTGACAGGAGAAGACAAAGCTTGCATAGACAGCACTAAAATACTGGGTAATTAGATAGTTCACCTTCAAGACCATTATACGAAGCTGATATCCGAGCATGCACACTGTTGAAATGATTTGGTGCTTCTTGCCTTTTCTTGATTTCGGAGGTAAAAGGTGTTATGCTAAACGATTCCTCCAACACATCCGAGATCTCGACATAATTATTCGTAGTGATGATTTCATCGGCACTGAACCCAAAGGACGCCCTGTAAGCTTCAAGTTCATCAGCATCCGCTTTCGAAGTTTTGATGTTCTGCCTATTCTGATAACCATATCCACCATTTATGTAAGCAGCATCCGGTTCCCTGGAAATACTCAGCCTACCGCCAGAATTAGAAACCGAAGACTGGTCAACATAGAACTGAGCAAACGTCTCTGGGCAGAAGAAATTTGACTCTTGCTGTGACTTAGACACACCAGCTTCATGGGCTCCAACAAATCTGCCCGAGCCCGAATATGTATTTTGAATATCATTTGCAGCAATGTAATTGGTCTTGTCAGAGCTTTTGAATTTTGCAGATGATGTAAGAAAACGAGCATAAGGCACGTCTGGAGAAGAAGGGGTTGTTAAATGTGCTAACTCTGGTGGAGGAGTGAAAGGAGCTGTAGATGGCTCAGTTGTGAAAGTCGAAAAAACGGGAGGAGATACTAACTGAGTCTCGTAGGCGTATGGACCTGTGACGAACATAGTAGACGAAGGGTTTTCGGGTGAGCTGGCGGATAAGAAACATCTGGGTGATTGAGCTGTTGATGGGGTTGTACAATTTGAGAAAGTAGCAGGAGAAGATGGTGGAGCTAAAAGAGATGAAGATATTCCGGAAGTTTGGTTGGACAATCTTGGATGATTCGGTAGAGTGTTTGTTTCGGGAATTCGAGACGCAGGTACAATACGCTTTCCACCTTTTTGTTTTTGGAAACAAGAAAGTCCTCCCAAACAACCTCCCCATCTGTTTCTCTGTGCCAATAATAGATGTAGTTTATTGATACCGACTTCAAGCAAAATAAAGAAGGCAAAAACGAGAAAGAGGCCACAAAAACCAGTGTCCACCGACAGAATTACAATGTTATCTTGATGTCTATGTAATATGTGTTGCTCAACAATGTAATATGTGTAAGATGTTCTAAAGAATAAAAGAAACGAATGAACTGAAGGGGCATCAACACCTAAAACGGACCACATGTATAATCATTAAACGGTAAATGAAGAAATGCGTAAATTCATAACCAACATACCCAAACTCCCGGTGGTTGCTGTGGCTGCAGAAACCGGTTTTGCACAGCTGCCATAACAATTGGGCTACACTGATGCTATCTCTATATTTTTTTTGCCGGTGGCTAATATTGTCCGACCGTGTATAATTCAACAAAGGACCACTTTTGTAACTCTCCTGCAACTGTTTCCGTTGAAAACATTCGTTTTTAAGTATTAAAGCATGCCAAATAGAACCAAAGTAATTATCTGTCAATAGGCATACACATTCTAAATAGGGTTTAGTAGAAAGATAAGCGGTCAATTTAGTCGAAAAACGATCATAAACTGGAACGACTGTGCATATAATCCATGTAAATCGCCTCAAAAAGAGCAGCCCAAGCAGAACCTCATGAAATTATTGGTCTAAAAGATGAATAAAAAAAACCATTTGAAAGAAGTTGTTATTCCAATAAAACAAAATGCCGAATCCAATCCCATAAACCCTGGCGGCATAGCTTTATGAACAAATGCATATACCTACCTCAAACAAATTCTTCCCCAAATCACATAATTTGCAGCAGAAACAAAAAAAACGAAGAGAAATAATTGAACAGAGAAATAGCAATCATTCGCGTACACAAACAAAAACAAGTTTATTACATCATTATAACACACCTACACCGTAATCGAAAACTGAAAAAGGAAAAATTGGAAAGCGCAACGAGAAAGTAAAAGAAAGTTGCGGCGCACCTGAACTTCTCACTGTCTAGGTTATACATGAATTCTGCTACTGCCTACTAGCAAAAATAGTGAAGGGGCTAAGAGATCTGCACAAGTTCGAGCGATAATGTAGCTAATTGTTGAGAGAGAGAGAGAGAGGTATAAAAACTGTAACGTGTAACTCGTGTGTGTTTTAATGGCGTATGGGAAAGGGAAGAAAGCAAAGGCCCCAGATCTAATCACTGCTTTCTGCCTTCTTACTTGTGATTCCGTTGATTGACTTATTGCAATTCTTTCATAAATCGGGGCCTTTAATTTAATTTTCCAAAAAATAATTTCAAGTAATAAGAACATTTCCACATGTGTTGATGCCTATCTTTTTCAAAAATTAAGCTTCAGTAATATATACTTAGAAATAGTTTGTTGCTTATTCTCTAGGGCAAATTACAGCCCTACTAAATAAGGACTTTCTTCGTAACATAATACATAAGTGAGGGGGTGTAATTATTCAAACATGATAGATTTTTTTCATAATTTGAGTTTACCTCAAGGAGCTGACCGTAATTTGCCCTATTCTTTAAGATAACATTATTCAAAGAGAAGAAAAAAAAACATGAAAAAGAAAATTGCAAAATTGAACATTTCAAATCCTATACAATGACTTAAAAACAGTAGCTGAAGAGGAGAAAACAGAAATTTATGATCAATTGAATTATAAGTTATTAAACAAAACCAAAGACAAGTTTATCCCATTCAATCTAGATTCCAAAGCAAGCTTTTCATTTTTTTTTATTGGAATCCAACCGATGCTGCAAACCCATCTAATTTTGTTCAGACAGCAAAACAAATGCCTTGATATAGCATTACAATAAGCTTCAACGGAAGCAAGAAAAAACGAGCATCATAAAAAAACTTTCAACTGTGCGTCCGAGGCTGATTATTATTAACCAAAGGGCAAGCCTTATATATATGTCTTTGTTACTCTCTCCAATCTGTCAGCAAGAAAACAAAATCCCCTTTGAAACATAGGAGATTCCCCAAAGAGCACAACAGAATATGCTAATAATTAAAAAAAAAGATGGAATAAGACGAGTTCCACCGGTAGATTGCGAATTTTATTCTTAGATGAAGTTTCGGAGGTCTAATGACTTCACATCAGGCACTTCTTCATCCTTGAACTCTTCCCTGCAATATTTAAACATTGAATTTTTGACATTGAAGCTAATATAAATAAATAAGACAATATTGCAAAAATGTATATACCTTTTCTTCTGAGTGTCCATTGCTTCAACAACTTCCTTCTTCAGCTCCTCCAGTTGGGCTTTTGCAATTTTAAGTTCCAACTGTTCCTCGTATTTGGGCAGATCTTCTTTACGAATTCCAAGCCTACAGTGGAAGGATAAGTGAAATTCAGTAGGAGTCGCCTAAGAGTTGAAATCGACCAGAGTGCAAAACTGTTATTTTGAGTACTGCATTTGAGTTAGATAGAACTAAATGCAAAAAAACTCTTCGTCGTGGCATTTTACCCATCTAACCATCAATAGTAAAAAGAAGTAGCTTCTAAGCGAATGGTTGATTTTACTTCATGGAGCTTACTTTTGGTTGATTTTATCAAACTCTGCCTTCAAAAGGGCCATTCCCTTTTTATCATTTCTCAGAAGTGGCTTCTTCAACTCTTTCTCAACTTTGTCCAGTGCGTCACTCATCATAGCCTCTGCACCTAATTCATCAATAATGCCTCTCCTGCCATAAAAATATTATACAAATGATCAGTGGAGAGCTGAGTGCATTGCAGGCTTGCAAAAATGTCTTTTAGGACAGCAAGAAATTCTATCATAAAGGAATTGCATGAAGATTTCAAACAGAAAACAACAGTTCCATAGTTTAATTACTAATCAAACTTTTTGACCAGGTTATCAGCCTGTGATACTTTAGTAGCTTAGGGAATCAAAGAAATTAAGAATTGCGTATGTGGTGTACTGTGAGATCCTACAAGAGAAGGAAAACATGACTATAGAGAGAACATAATTCACAAACTCATGAGAAAAATACAGGTCTAACAGAAATATATAACCAAGGCCTGAACGTACTTGACCCTAATGTCCTTCAAGGCTAGCAAATAGGATCGAGCATCAGGAATATCTTGTGTTTTTGTCTCAATAGTATATTTGATCCTCTGTGACTCGGAGAAAAGATCAGCCCTGCAGGTATATTCCATAAAATACAAAAGGAAAAGATCAGCCCTGCAGGTATATTCCATAGAAGAGCAATTGCACAATGTAATCATGAGATGAAGTTAGCATCCATAGACCATAAAGATCATTACAGACTGATGAAGATATTATGCAGCAACTGAAAAAAATCCATTGTGCAATAAACTAGATATGACAAGGGACTTTTAATACTGCATGATTAAAATATATGACGAGTTTATGGATGCTCACAAAGAAAAATGAAATAACTCAAGTTTTGTAATGGCTGGTAAACTCAAGCATCAGGTAATACTATTTGTAGGTTTACAAACACAAGGGTGATATAAGAAATCTAAAAGAGGCCCAGTAAACAAAGATTAACAGAAGCATTAGAAGATCGTACTTTTCTCTTACAGTCTTCATGACTCTGGCATATTCAGCAACTGCAGCAGGATCTTCAGGGTCAATGGTGATCTTCTCTTTTCGGAGAACCCCTATGGCTGTCTCAAATTTCTTCTTAACCTCAAGAAAGATATTCTTCAACATCTCTTGAAAAGTATGTGCAACAGTCAGAACCTTATATAGGCATTATAGGCAGCAGACAATTCAATGACTTTAAGGAAATTTAGATAGCACATGCACTATCAGAGTGAAACCATAACGCTTAAAAATCTTGTTGTCATTCAAAAGCTAGAAGATATACTAGATAAACATAATAGACTTGGCAATCCACCAGAATCAATCAATACTTAAAAGATGGGGTTCTTGAGAAAACATTTGCAGTTCAGTGCATGGAACTAGCATTAAGCAAATCAACCAAAAATACGACAAATAAGCAAAATAAACGTAGAAGTAATAAAACATAAAAGATCCAGAGAATGTTTTGTGGCAACTGCACAGCCACATTAATGTTATTATTCACTACAGATCTTCATACCAATCATGTTGTAAATGATGCTGATCAATAATATATTCAGGAGATGCCACAAACTAAACTTTTTTCGTTCCTTTCTCTTCCGGAATTCATTTATTTTATGTTTCTTTATGAATCATTTGTCTCTGTGTTGGAATGATTGGACTTAGCGCCCCATAAACAAAATGCGCTTACAAGCACCAATAAACAAGATCAAGTGCTCCAAAATACTTGAGAAATTGAAATTTCACAAACAAATGAAAAGCCTAACGTAAGCGAAATACGAAAACTTCACCGGATCATCTGTACAATTTAGGAGGACCGATCACCAGTAAGTCAAAACTCGCTGTTTATCACTATAGCAAGAAATCAGGCCCAAAGAATTTGCATCTGTAATCGGTCCAAGATGATGCTCATCACTTCAAACTGCCATATGAAGATAATATCTAATCTGCATTCAACCACTCTACCCCATTTCCTCTGGCTCTCAACAGACACGAGAAACCCCAAAAAATATTTCTTGATAATATTTCTTGATTTATCCATTGCTATAGATTGTAAACCACTTAAGCAGTTACCTTGGAAAACGTGATCTTTTATTTCAAAAAATTAACCTCGATGGGCATTAATCGTACCAAACTATCTATGTCCCTTCCCCTCACCATTTGTCAAAATAAACTCATAATAAAGTCTACGGTGTGAACATTGATCAAACATGTCTGTATGGTACATTTGTCTTCTTAACACACTTCTCGCAAAAATCATGGACAATATCCCTCAAACATTTTCGTCATCATCAACACCAAACACACAAATTGAATACTAAATGAATCAACCGATCCAATCGATCTCAACAAATTATAATAAAAATTAGAACTCACCATCTCCCTTTAAGGCGGCAGGAGCAGTGGCAGCCCCTTTCGCAAATGAACGAGATGGAATACCATACTCCGGTCGCAGAACACTTTGCCCAGTACACACCTGCAAAATAATAAACAAAAACAAAATCCAACAAATCAAATCCACACTTTACGTCAGAAAATACAAAACATTTATTTGCTCAAACGATAAGCATAGAAAGCCCTAGCAATTTCGCCGATGGATCCAATCACGAAAACGAAGGAAGAAGAGATCGAAGAAGGAACAAATCTGGAAACCTGGCGAGTTGATCTGGAGAGGAAGCGAGTGGCGAAAGCCATTTTCGGATTGGAAGCAGCGATTGTGTGGGAATTTCTTGTGCTTTTGAAGAGTTCTCTGGTTTTTTGTAAGCTGACCTAGCCTTTTCAGATTTTCAAGGGGAAGGGCATAAATGGAATTAAAGAACAGTGATAATCGTCACCATTTGCAGCAGCGTTTTCCTTCTCGCTTCGGCTATGGGCTCCCTCTTTATTGGGTCACAAAAGACTTAATGGGCCTATAAATATTTACAAGTGAAACTTAATTTCATTTTTCACTTTGAGAAATTAAAATTACTTTATGATAATAATAATAAGAATAATAACAATACTCTTTAGTATTGCAAAAAAATTAGAAATGAAAATTATAAAAATTAATATTACTCAGAAAAATGTAAAAAAAAAAAAAAAAAAAAAAAAAAAACGTAACATCCTTAAGGTGGTATTTGCAAATTTCTGTTCGACGGTGGTAGTTGTGAATAAAGTGTAGTTTAATAAGTGCATCAAATTTATTGAAATATTTTTGGTATGAACTATTTACTCATTTCAGCTACTAATTTGCGACATATTGTTCGTGAAAATCGGATTTCTCTCTATTAAAATTCAAAAAAAAATGTTACATTAGTGCAAAACTTCGAACTTTTGGCATCCCGAAGACGGAAATAAATAACACAGCGTAACGGAATATGCCAAAGAGTAAAATTGCATTCACACTGATCCCAATTTAGTAATTACTAATTTACATAACCCGAAAAAAGAAATAGGCCAATTCAGCTATATAAATTATGGTTTTGTAAAATTCTGAAGAAGACGACATAAGTCTCTCAAAACTCAAAATATCGGTGTCAAAACAAAAGGATTACAAGATATCCAGGTTAAATAACCCTGGTTAACGACTCGAAACGGAAAGGGAATCAATCCCAACTCAATCTTCAGAACATAGCAGTATACAGAGCAGAGCATACAAAAGAGTGGCTATGAAAAACAGCCTAAAAGACGAGAATCACATCGAATAAAGTTAAGCACGAGTTTTGACATGAATAAGTTAGATCAGCATGCGCAACCACCTTGTTGCTCTGTTTCTGGGACGGTCTCTGGCATTTCCTGGAAGTATCTGCATGTCCCATATTTAAGAATTAATTAGAAATAAATAACACCACCAAACAAAGTTTACAGGCTAGAGAGAGAGAGAGAGAGAGAGAATTAACAGTTAGTACTGGAAAAATACTATGGAGAGAGAGTTGATAGTTCGTATTGTAAAAAGAACCGACTGTCTTGCATTCACAAAAATCATAATGAGATGCAATAAGCCGTAACTTCGTCCTTTTGATTTAATGTAAATATACTCCTAGTCTCGTATAATCACACACTTTAATATGTAAACCATTAATACAGGTATACATTGCACAGGTACCTGTCACCTCCAAAAAGAATTTCATATGAGAAAGTTTTAGAGAACCTTATCCGCATCAGAAAGTTCCAAACCTTTTAACTATGATTACTCGGTTACAGAGTCTAAGACATTACCGAAAATGCGCGTCTTATGAAGAATATACCAAAAACTGAGAAAAGTTTATCTTTTCAAAAAGACCATTTTTTTTTTACATTCACTCCCTATACCATTATTGTACGTCTATATTATGTTAAAAGACCAAAAAATGACACATTCAGAAACTTCAGTATAACCAATGATTGAGTGCTTTGACTTGCAATCACCAGAACGTCTTATCAACCATCCTTTAAAACCATCAAGTATATTCAGAAATTCCTAAGAGCAATTTTCTATCGTGTCTAAATTCCTCCAGAGCTGCAAAATGGCTATTAATAAATATACACAAGTAATTTCCTCTGTTTTATAACGAGTAAAAAAAAATTCAGCTAAGTATAACAAAAAGCAAGGATATACAAGTCCTAAAGGGAACTAGGCTGGCAATGGGGATTTGACCCATGGGTCGGATCAAATATGTTGGAACTGAGGGTTGCATCCTATGTTTTAAAGTTCCTGTCTATTTGCTTGGATTCCAGGGCCTAGGCTCTTCTAGCTAGATTTTGGCATATCCAAAAGTGGGTATAAAAATAAAAATAAAATAAATCATACAAGATAGAATCAAAAGAAATTCCTTGATAAACTTTAGAAAAAAATGTCTTGAAACGGTTTTTCACAAATAAGAATGGGAAGCTCATTCTTATCTAGTGCACTAGACGTATTTTATTTTTACTGTTGTATAGCCTATTTCACACATTTCAAAGACATTTCTACTAATATTACAGAGAATTACTGATTTGTTCTCTCCGCTGGAGAACAACTCCATTTTCGCATAACTCGGACGATATATCCAAATCCCATTTCTTATATAAGAAGCCATGTCATATAGGAGTGTAGCTTGTGCATATGTATGCAAGTTAGTGTAATTATAGAGCAGGGAGAAGGATAATAACAGAGTTTGATATCTATCTTCACAAGAAAAGCTGTAAATTTCACATATTTAAGCCACTCACATATCTTGGTCATGCTCGTTCGCTAAAGCAGCCTTTGCGACACAAAAGAATGCAGGATCAACATTGTAGTCCTCTTTTGCTGATGTCTCAAAGTAAGGTATATTCCCTTTTGATGCACACCATTCTTTCGCTTTTTTCTCAGAAACCTGAATTTAAATAAATCAGAGCCAAACAAGTAGATCCATAATCTATGCAGTACAGCAAATCGACTTACCACTCTGCTATTGCCACCATCTATATCAATCTTGTTTCCTAGTAATACAAACGGAAATGTCTTCGGGTCAGGTGGGTTAGCCTGCATCACAACCGAATTCTGTCAATTACGGGTCCGGTACTCAATATGATCGGACTATAATTTCACCATTCCAACATGTTGTTGGTACTGGAATAAATTACGCAATGTTATAATATGTAAATGACCTATTACTGGTTGTGTAAGTCAAACATGCGGGATATTGTATCACTCCAGAACAATGGGGAAAACAAATAGGAGATGAAGTCCTATTTGCCTAACACACTAAACTTAAGATCATATGTTTTATACAGGTAAGACAAATACCACGTTATGCTTGTCATGAATGCACAAAATAGAAATTTAAACCAAAAAAAAAAGTGAAGGTGAGAAATAGTGTAGTAAATACTAGTATCCTTATTAGTGAAAGAATCCAAAGATAAGAATTAATTCAGATTTAAGAGAACAACTATCAATACATAAACTTGCTTCATTCGGCTCGATGGAGCTCATTTCCAAAGATAAATATGGTGAATTTACTAAAACAAGAGAGATTGCAAAGATCATATATAATCGTTCACTTGAATCCTACCAGCACAAGCAGTTCTCCGCATGTATTAATTCTCACGACACACCTCATAATAAAATGATATAAAATAACTAAGAGCATAAAAAAAATGCTCTTAAAAGGAAATGTTGTGTTCGTTCAAAACGAAAAAACCCATTCATATGCTTATTGTCTCAATGTCGTCATAGCAGGAATGCACCGTATAACAATCATAGCTTTTAAATTTTTTGACAAAAATCTGATAATTATCTACCAAAACAAGCTAAACTTCCCCTCCTACATAAGTTGACCATAATAAAGATACCGTCTTGCTGGATTTACAACTGAAAAGTAAACATTAATTTCTCAAAGGACACTCTAGCCACCTGTGCTACTTGTAAATACAGAATAGAAGTACCAACCTGCTTGAGAAATTCTTCATGCCAGTTGTCAAGAGTATCAAAAGACCTCATTACATTCACATCATATACCAAAACACAGCAATCTGCGCCTCTGTAAAATGCAACTCCAAGACTTTGAAATCTCTCTTGACCAGCAGTGTCCCAAATCTACCAAACCCGAAAAGCAAATTCATCCCTTCAGTAAATAACTCAACCATTGATTTTAATAGAAGCCGTAAATGTAATTCAAAACCAAAAGATTCTTTTTTTCCAAAATAAATAAGAAACACACTTGAAGAGTGACGAGGCGATCATCTATTTGAAGTTCCTTGGTGACAAAATCTGCGCCAATTGTAGCTTTGTACTGCTGACTAAATTTCTTATGCACATATCTATTTCACAAGTTAAAGAACCCTAATAACACAATAACACAATTGAACAATAGGCAAGAAAAAAAAAATCTACCAGCAATATTATGAATTTACAAAAACAAAAACAAAACCACAAAATACAAATTATTAGCCAGATTAATGTGAAAATAAATTAAAAATAAGGATACTGGTTCATCAACGATGTTTTACCCACCCTGCAAAAAAATAAAAAAAATAGGAGAAAATCACATAGATTACACCTAAGTCCTAACCCTAGAACTCGGAAAAAACGAATCTAACAATTAAAAAAAAAAAAAAAAAAGGAATTTTATTTTACAATACCCGCTGTCGCCGAGGACGATGACTTTGAGCAATGTTCGCCTACGCAACGACATTTGACACCGATTAAGAACCTGGATATTTTCTTTTCAATATCTTTTCCGATGGAAAATGCGTGCGAGAGAAATGTGAGGAAAGGCCAAGGGACAGGAAAAAGGGGCGCCAATTTCGATCTGATGAATCACAAACACTATTGACCTTTTTGTGTTTGGTGTTGTTTACCGATACTGGCAGTACAAATTAAAGTTGAAATTAAACATACTATGATAATTATATATTTTATTTTATTTTAAATAAATGAAAATTAAAATATTGTTTTACTAGGGAGATATTTTTTGATGAAGTATTATTTTTTTTTGTGTGTGTGATCTTTGACCTATTAATAAATTGAAAATTAGTACCAACTCATTTATTGTGCATATTTTACATTTTTTATAATCAAGCTCGAGCTACTATCGAACTTCACAACTTGTCGAATGAAAGATATGTTTTCGAGCTTGATACATTATATTAACAAAATAAGCTCAATAATTTGCAGCCCTAACTCACTTCGTTGTCGGCATCAAATTATAGAAATCTTATATGCATTATAAAGAAAACAATGAAATATGTATACGGCGTGCACGAGTGAAGTTATTAGTTTCATATCGAAAAAGAAAAGTCGATAAAATATTACAAAAATGTCACAGTGGAGAAGAAAGCAAAAGTATCCACACAACAAAAATTTACGGAGCCAAAACATTCGGCTGAATTATCCAAAAGCAAAATCTGCTAAACAAGTCGATAAATCTCACGTGTGGGTGTGGATGAACGAGTTATGCAAATCGAACTAATAAAAACAAAACATTAGAAACAGGGGATTTTCTTTTTTGCCTGGGATTTTTTGAGTGAAGATTCTGAAGGATCACTGAAAATATCTCTGTAGAAAACTCTTAGTTCTCTTCCGCATTCGTGTGAAAACGACAACTCCACAAGCTAAAACCCATGGAGGAATCGGACCACTGGAGAAGTTGAGTTTATTCGCCCATTGTGGAGTTTCTTTCATAACCACAACAATCATTAAGGTGATTAATGCAACACTTAATAATATCTTCGTGATGGGACTGAGCAGCGAATCCTGGCATTTAACAGCATAAAATAAGTCAGAACAAATAAATTTTCATCCGTTTAATGCCCAAAAAGCATAACTTTTATATTGTCTTTTAGCTAACAGCGAATAGAAGAGAAATTTATCGGAGCAACCGGAATTGCATGATCACTGTAAGTCCACATTTACTGTTTTGCAATGCCAAGAAAATCCAGTACTGATAACTGATAAAGCATAAGTGCCAGTACAGAAAGAGTTTATATCTTATTGATTAATGGTTCAAAGTTGCATCAAAATTCTCCGCAGAAAGCAGGCAACTCAAAACTCAGTAGAGAATCTACATATATATATAATTATCGCGTTGAGTACCATTTAGAAATTCTACGACAAGATCAACAAAAAATTCACACTCGGCAGTCGGAGTTTTAACCAATCTAATAGCTCGTGGGGTGAATTTTCTTGCATGTGGTTTAGTTTAGGCCAGTTTAGATATTTGTCATTTGTGCAACGTATACTTCCCCAATGGAACTAGAACAGAGAATACCATCCCCAACCCACGCGCACACACACACCTCTCTCATCCATTTAGCCAGCAAAGCAAATCTATCGGTCCCTCTAATATAAATAGGAGGTCAAATAATTCTCCCTCATAAAACTAAGTCCAACTGAATGTCTGAAAGAAGGGTAATGTCAGAATTAAGGTGAACCACGGACCTACATCAACCTCAATAAGTTTTTCCCGGCTCAGCATTTTTTTTGGTTTGACTCACTTCAAGCAGAAGATGGTTTTACGAGTTAATCGAGATTACATGTTATTCTGAACTTTTCCAACTGAATAATGACAGAGCAGAACGTCAATTGATACGAAATTTGGACATTCCCATCCTTTCAAATCATTTGGTACTACTGCAAAAAAGTTCCTAGTGGAAATATCTTTTCTGCTTCAAAAGCACGACGACAGAAATCAAATTCTTCAGAGCACACATTATACCAGGTATGTCGGAGATATATAAAATATCGAGTGATTCACTTCACTAACATCTTAATCTTTTAGGGTTTAATACGCAATGGCAAATATATAATCACTTGTAACCAGAGAATCTCCTATAAAATCTCAGTAAAGTTACACACAAACAACCAAAAACAATTCCATATCTCTCGTGATGAATCCAGCAAATAATTATTTAATTAACACTGATAAAACATGCCTTCAAAATGACCCTAATTTCCACTTCGATTCAACAAATCTATAATTCTATAAAAAAAATTAAAAAAAAAAAAAAAAGGAAAAACCGATGAACACATATATATTATATCCGTGATTCTAACCTTGGGATCGCCGTCGAGATAAATAACGGAACCATCTCTGTACGTGACTATGGACCGGCCATTCCGCGGGTTGAACCGAATAGGAACGCCCCGACTCGATCCAGGAGTGTATGCATAAACCGTCTTCAACCCATACTTCTCCAGAATTTCGCGGACATCCAGCTGGTCCTGGTCCCACCCACTCAGGCCCGTTTTGATGACGTCGATCGGACCTTTCCCTTGCTTGTACACGTGTACCTCCGCCTCCGGCACATTCGTCGTAACAGTTCTGGACCTCTGTAGAACCGGTTCGGTTTCAGGGATCTTCGGCAACAACGGCGTCGCCTCCTCCTCTTCTTCGATTTCTCCGATCCTTGCCATCTCTGTAATCGGGTTGTCCGTTGTTTGTTTATTCCTCCGTCTATAACATACGCTAGCTTCTACTTTTTTAAATTCAAAATATCCCCTCGAATATTATATTATTACGATTCAACCCCTCATATTTTTATTTCTCGACAAAACATATGTATTAAACTCCCATATAAAATAGCATGCAAAATGAATAAATATAAATTCTTAGTAAGATATTTTATTTATGTTTATTAGCAATTTGAAAAAAAATATACGAATTAAATTAATTTATAGATACATGATTAATCAAGTCAACTAAATTTTTGGATAATAATCAAATTTAAATAAATAGATAAAATTGGTTTCTATTTGTTGTTTATTATATAATTGAAACAAATAGTTTAGTTAAATAATAAATATATGGTGAAATCTAAAAAATATATATATAATTTCAAAATAACATCATCTTTTTTTTCTGAAACTGTATTGAAGATCCCAATTTGGGAGAGTTGTACAGTTTATTGCCGCACAAAAAAATTCCCATCAGTATATCTCATCAAACATCATTTGGTTTACAAATAAGAAAAACGAAAAATCTAGTATTGAAACCTCAATCACAAGCAGTTGTGTTGCTTTTGGTAACATCACAGACTCAAGAGACAAAATACTTCCTCGGACTACGACACGGTTTCATATGCAGAGAATATTCCAACTCTGATTCCAAGACAAGCCTAGAATCGGTTTTCATGTAAGGCCCCTCGACGTCTCTTATTACCTGCTTCTATCAGCAAAAGCCCAGGCGATATCAAAAACACTTCACTCAATATCCAGAAAAATCACGGGATTTTGAAGAGTCTTTTCAATTTATGTAGCAGCTTCGTTTCTTCTGGAGTTACATCATCCTGCATATATATTCAACCAAAAGGAGCAAATGCTAAATACATATACGTGGAAAAAGTGGAAAAAGATGGCGAAGTAAAATTCTAAAAATTCACAAACCTTGTAGTTTTCTTTGAGTGCGTCGAGTGAGGCTCTAGAGATCTTGCTCACAAGCTCATCCTCGATCTCGAAATGCCTGCCAACCATCTTCTGCTGCTCCTCTGAGTTACTGCCAATTATCTGTTAAAGAGAGGACTCAGAAACGAACAGGAAAATACAACAAGCTTTAAATCGCTCACTGTTTGGAATTAAAGGAGTCGAAGGATATTAAAATGCCTTATGTAGTGCACTAGTGGTCACATGTTCTATGTAAAGGCAGGAAGAAGTTGTTTATATGCTCATTCAAGTGGAATAAATATCTTCCATATTTGTCTACGATTTTGATAAGTTACCTCAAGACTATGTAAATAAGAGGTCACGTGTTACCTAAGTTCACAAAATAAATATGCTTACGCATGCTACTGATCTTGATATCTCATACCTTAATGGCCACCGTCTGGCCTTTTTTGGCATAATCAACAGGCTTGTGGTTATTCTCAATGGAAGCTATACGGCCAATTTCAATGAATTCCCTTTGAGGGACGCAAAGAGGAGTTCCAATCTGTAAGGCAGAGTAAAAAAGTATAATGTTTAAAAAGAAGAAAGAAAAATGCACATCCAAAAGAAATACAGAAGAGACTGCAGTTGGCGCCAGAGGTCGAATATACAGGCACACGAGAATGGAATCAAATACAGAAAAAAGACATAAGTGGGTGTATGTCGGTGTGTTAATATTTTAACTTACATATCACACATCCCAGCAGATTTTTAGGACAGGTTCTTAAACGTCAATGTGCAGAAAATTATCATAATTCAGATCAACAAATAAATTACCTTTGCAGTGCCTTCAACGACATCAACTCCTAAAACAATGGGATCCTTCTTATTGAACACACAGTTTGGGATGATCTTGAGGACACAGGGAAAAACTGCGTCGTCAGCAGCTTCTTTCTTCCTTTCCTCCTTAAGATTATCTATGTAAGCCTTAAACTGATCAAACAGGTGGTAAATAATGTCGGCGATGAATATTGTGACACCAAGCTCATCAGCGAGTTCCCTAGCCTCTTGAGTTACTTTTACGTCAAAGGCCAATATTGTGGCATATTCTTTCTTCTTCTCAAGCATGACACTTGCCTTCATCACATCCTTCTTGTGTACTGGACCTATGCTTATACCACTGACTGGTATGTTAACTGCAGGAGTCTTCAAGAACTCCAACAATGCTTCTAACGACCCAAGAGTAGATGCTTGAACGTACACTCCCTCGCCACTTTTGTCAATCCTACTCATCACAGACTTCATATCTTCCATGGCTGTAGCTTTGATATCTTCCAAATCGTCATTAGGCCCTACAATATAGAGACTAGTGCCTGCAATGGCATGCTCAAGGCCCTGCAAATATAAGAAAGGCGGTATATTATCAGGTCAGACAAAAAGTCAACTAAAACATTTGAAGTTACATGACAAGCCAAAAAATGACCAGGTTTACATAGGAAAATGTATCGCCTAGACATATAGACACAGAAATTTCATGTTAAACATGCATGCTTGGTAAGAAACATAACGAGGCCATGAGTAAACCATATCTATCAATAACATGGCATTCTGACTTCCAAACGACTTCGGAATAACTGACGATAACTAGATAGGCGAACAAGTTCGACTTAAATATGTTTATCTAATCCATATAGTCATTCAAAACATGCACATGCGACAAAGAGAGATGGTTACCTGAGCAGTGATCTTGATACCCTGGGCAGCCTTGATCTCTTTATGATGCAAATATGTTCCCTGGAATAAAACAATTAACAAAATGATGAAATCCATCAACAAAAAATGCTTTGAGAAAGTTACTAAGTGAAATCTATCACTGATTTGATTACAACACCAAGAGAATGAGATGTTGCAATAAATGGCATTTGAAGAATGAAGAACAACATTCTCAAAGATCCAAACAACATATTGCTCCAACCTCAACAAGGAACTTAACTTCGAAAACTTGGGATCTCTCATGCAAAGTTGCTTGGTAACTAAACAAGCAATAAAAAAAAATAAATTACTCCGAATAACCAAAGAAGATTCTTGTTTGAACATGCAACCACATCATGCCAAGAATCGAACCTCGTTTAGCTTTGGTAGGTATAATAGGAACATAAGAACTACTAGAGAAAAAGATAAATTTTATCATAGCCAAGTTTTCTTTTGCTAGCGAACCAGGACATTGCTAGCGAACCAGGACAGCGACTAAAAAGTAATGCTCCTAACATCACTGTGAATTTAAAGTAAGCACTGACAAAAAGGATATTCCGTCATTATTATCTTAGTGTGCCATCATCACTTGTGTCGAAAGTCGAGTGAAACCAAACCTTTTATATCCATTATAATAATAAGCAGAAATTATCCCCGTCAAAGGAAAACACATTTGCTCTCAAAAAAAGGGAAAGCACGTTAGAATATATCTTTATTAATTATTAAAATGATCAAAAAGTCTCACCTTGACTCGGAGCTCCTTCATTGGGTGGGGTGTTAATAATGCTCTAATTGTGGTAACAATGGGCCCCTATAAGAAATGTACAGATGTATGAGTGTAAAAATATCTCCTTGAGAAGAACACAAAAATAGAAATGAAGCACAATATAAAATATATACCTGCAAGCCACAAACAACTATTTGATCTCCTTCGTGCAGCACGCCATTCACCAACACCACATCTATTGTTGTCCCATGTCCTTCAACGACTTTAACCTCCAAAACAGTACACTGGACGAAGCAGGGTAAACAATAAATAATTTATCATTCTATTATATTTTTCGCTATTAAGAAGGTGATAAGAAACCAAACCTCCACTTCGTTGCTAAATGTAAGTCTTTCGATCATTGTCTTTTGAGTCCATTGAACCAGTAGCAACAACATATCAGGGATGCCTTCACCACTGCCAGAATCACCAACATGATAAGAAGTTGAGACTAATTTTATAACTTTTGAGAGATGGTAGCTATAAAATATAAGAAGTGAAGTCCTTAGTCAACAAATAAAATAAACCTTATGGCACTAGTGGGAACAATATTGAAAGTCTCCCCCCTATCTTTGTTCTTGTAATACAATTCAGTATTGAGACCTTGCTCCTTAAACTGTGTGATAACCTATACAACAGAACACTTGCCTCAGATAAAAGCCAACAAATGTGCTGGAATTTATCGTGAATAAAAGAGATACATATAACCTGAGTCAGCCTGTTGTTAAATTCCATTTGGACGTCTTTTGACTGTAGCTTCATTGCTTTTCCTATTGGTGCATTGCGGCATGTTTTCCAGCCATACAGTCTGTCCACCTGCAATACCAAAAAGAATAAGCCAAATCAAATAATTAAAAAAACAAAACACATGGGTACAAAGACACTACACAAAGAAGAATACGAAGGTGACTCACTTTATTCAGAGCAACAATGAAGTCGGTATTTCTCATTTTCAAAAGATTGAGCGATTCAATGGTCTGTGGTTCCAAACCATGCATTATATCGACAACCAATATTGCAATCTCACATAACCCTGACCCTCGAGAGCGCAAATTGGTAAAAGATTCGTGTCCAGGTGTATCAATCACTAATAGACCTGGGACATTAAGCTTTGCATCAGCTTTCAGTTCCTTAGTTCTCTCGCGTATGTTCTCAGCAGGAAAATAAGTCGCTCCGATTTGCTGTGTAATCCCACCAGCCTCACCTTCTTGAACATTAGTACCTCTTATGCAATCAAGCAACTTTGTTTTACCAGTATCAACATGACCCATAATACAGCAAATAGGAGACCGGAGTTCTTTCTGGACACTATCCGATTTCGGTGTTTCCTCCTTAGGAACTTGTTTGATATTCTTCTTGTCTGATCTAAGTGGAACCGTTGAGGCAGCCTTTTCAGTCAAATCATTTGGCTTCGTTGTAATAGAAGGCTGTTCAACATCTTGAGTTGTAGTCCTCGGATTCTTTATCTCCTTCTTAAGCAAAGGTTCAGGCTCAGAGTCAACTTCTTCATCTGAAAATGCACTTTTACCAGGTAATTTCAAATCGGCATCATCCCAACTTTTAGCATCCCACTCTTCATCTTCTTCTTCTTCTTCTTCATCTTCTTCTTCTTCTTCCTCATCATCAACTCCGTTCTCTTCAATTACATCAATAGTGCCAGCTGTATCCTTTGTACTCGATGACTCCACAGCATCAACGTTCTCAGCTTCCACAGAATCCTGTTGCAGTGCAATTTCATGGATTTCTTTTGAATCCGTGCTCTCAACATTGTCCACGGTGGATGCTCCATTAGATTGAGTTTGTGACTTTGGCTTTTTCTTCTGATACAAAGGTCGTTTGGCAGGTGCTCCAGTAGTTTCTCCAGAGGGTATCTGCAGGCCACCTGCTTTAGCTAGTATTTGGTTCCTCATTGCCTCCAACCTCCGAGCTTCTTCCTTCTGTTTCCCTGTAAGAAGCTTCCCTTCTTGCTTTTTCTTCAAAAGCTTCTCCTTCTCCCTTTCCTTCTTCAAGCGCTTCTTCTCTTCTATCAACTTTTCTTCCTCTTCTTTCTTTAGTCGCTCCTCTTCTTCTTTCCTTAGTCGCTCCGCTTCTTCCCGCTCTTTCCTCTCTTTATCTTCCTTCATTTTGGCAATTCTCTCTTGCATCTCCCTGACATGCTTTGGAACTTTCTTACCTGGTACTATGTTACTTGTATCGGTTCTGGTTTCTTCCACTGCAGGGGCAGATGCAGCTGCCTTCTTCTCTTTCTCTTTATCCTTCTTCTTTTTCTTCTTCTTTGATGCTACAGACTCCACAGGTCCTTCGTCTTCATCTTCCTTGTCAGCAGCAGCCTCTTCTTTCTCAGACTGCTTCTGTACCTTCTCTCCTGCAGTAGGTACAATTGGAGCTGCAGCAGAAGCTGATTCCGGAGGTGCTACACCAAGTTCAGCTAGAATTTTATCCAAGTCGTCTTCTTCGTGACCAGTTTTCCCACCCTTCTTCTTCTTCTTTTTGTTCTTTGAAGTATCCACCATATCTTCACTTGTCTGCTTTTTAATTTTAGAATCCTCGTTGTGTTGATCCAGTTCAACAACATCAGAGGATGCATCACCATTCCCACTCTCCGGAGCAGTATCAGCACTTGCACTCTTCTTTTTAGATGACTTCTTTTTACCAGAAAAATTAATCACCGAGGCATTTCCTCCTCGTCATTTTCTTCATCAAGCAAAGCTGCACTAAACGAATTTCCGGAACCCTTCTTCAAACCCTTTGACGACTTCTTCTTTTTACCAGTAAAGGTAATTCCAATATCCTCATCTTCCTCCTTGGAACTCTCGTCGTTGTCTTTACTCTCTTCCTCTTCTCCAAGCAAATCAAAAGCAGAAGCCATACCACCTCCACTCTTCTTACTCTTTGAAGGCTTTTTCTTCCCAGAAAATGCAATCACCGGTGGATCTGCTTCTTCATCCTCCTCATCATTATCCTTCCTTCCATGATCGTCTTCCTCCTCATCTTCTCCCAATAACCCAAAACTCGAAGCACTAAAACCTGTGCTCTTTTTCCCCTTAGACTTCTTTTTACCATCAAATTTGATTACCGGAGCATCATCATCTTCCTCTTCAACCACATTAGCCCCCAATTCTTCATCCTCGTCATTCAGCTCTACTTTCTTTGATCCACCCTTCTTGCCCTTCTTTTGTTTACCTACTGGTGCTACCTTCTCTTCCGGAACAACAGCCTCCTCTGATAATTCAGTTCCCATAGAGTACTCATCATCGTCGATCATAAATCCCTTCTTCTTTGATTTACCTCCCGCAGCAACACCTGTGGGGCCGCTCTCCTCATCACGGTTACTCGGCTTCTTTCTCCCCATTAATTTTTCTTTTTTAGTGTGTGTGTGTGATTTCGACTAATAACTCAAATCCCCCAATTCACCAAAATTCCTGCAAAACCCCATTTTCTAATCAGTCACCTTACCAACACAGAAAAATAACAGTCTCTTTTTCCAATAGAAGGTAAACAATCCGAAAATAAAAATTATAGAACTCTTCATTTCCCATTATTAACCTAAACCTCAAATCAAATCCAAATTGTTTCAGAAAAAAAAAATGTAAAAGTACAACTACTGGCACACAACAAATACGAATCATCGAATCCAAATTAAAACAGGAATCAGTGGTTCAAGATGAATTACCTGGGCGGCGGGGGTAACGCTCACTGGAGATACAATAAACAACAATCAGTAGTTAGGTTTGTCTGTATATTTTTATGAAAAAATGTTCATGAAAAAATACTGGGCAGATGCCGTAGAGAGAGAAACAATTTGCGCAATTGAAAGGCCTGAAAGTAGGGTTGAGCAACTCCGGTAATTGGGTTTCAATCCGGGTCGGGTATTTGTAATGGGCCTGTATGTGGAAGTGGGTTGGGTTTAATTTCACGCAAACGAATCAAATTATTCAATTACATGATTTGAATGGCTATTGTGTGGTATTATTTATTTATTTTTATTTGTGTCCTAAATAATTATTGAAAACATATTATTTATTTTTATGATTGTACTACTAATCAATTCAATATCGTCTAAAATCTATATATAAAAAACTTATGATCTCTTTTTTAAATTATATCTAAGAATTTATTAGATCTATATCAAACATATATTTCTTCCAATACGAGTTTCTTGGCAATTGGGGCCGTATCAAACTTGAAGTCGCAATTTAATTTGTATTTCGTGCAAGTTTTGAATAACAATCTCAATTAAAAAAAAAAAAATCAACAAATATGGATCGAATATTATGCAATAGGAAAGAGAAAAAAAAAAAAAAAAAAAATTACTAAAAGATACTCATTAAGCAAGGGGATCTACTAAATCATGCAACAAATCCATCACCATAAGTAATAGTATCAACCTTCCTAATACAATAGTACCCATATAATACTCCTTCCAAAAGGCATTCATAAATTAAAGGAAATATGATTTATATCTAATATCTTCGACTAATTTAAATTAAGGTAAAAAAAAAATTCGAGTCTATATAAACTCATACTTGTACGTATTTACATGTCAACCTTGGCTAGCAAAAAAAAAAAATGGCGTCTTTGAGTTTTAATTTCACAATCACCCTCGTTTTCCTCTGTGTTCTTGTTGGTTGTAGTTATGGAAGATTAGTTCCGTCCGGCCCAAATCATGAAGAGTCGCCGGAATATCCATCTCCGCCAAGATTCGTTCACTCTAGTACTATAAAGAGGTTGGTTCCGTCCGGCCCGAATCACGAAGAGTCACCGGAATATCCATCTCCGCCAAGATTCATGCACTCTAGTATTATAAAAAGATTAGTTCCGTCCGGCCCGAATCACGAAGAGTCACCGGAATATCCATCTCCGCCAAGGTTCATGCACTCTAGTACTATAAAAAGAT